CAGGGATGGGGAGTACAGGGACGGGGGGAGTACAGGGATGGGGAGTACAGGTACCCAGGAATGGGGGGAGTACAGGGATGGGGGGTGCAGGTACCCAGGGATGGCGGGAGTACAGGGACGGGGAGAGTACAGGTACCCAGAGAAGGTGGGAGTACAGGGACGGGAGTTGCACAGGTACCCACAGAGGGTGGGCACACAGGTACCTGGGGAAGGTGAAAGCAGAGGTACCCAGGTGAGCACGCGGGTACCCAGGGACAGTGGGTGCACAGGTACCCACAGAGGGGGCTCGTGCAGGTTCTCGTAGAGGTGGACACACATGTACATGAGGATGGTGAATACACAGATACCCTGGGAAGGTGTGTGGGTTACCAGGGAAGATGTGTGCACAGGTAACCGGGAAGGGGTGGGTGTAGAGGTGCTCATGGAAGGTGAGGGCATAGGTCACTCACACCCCCACACCTGCAGCTTCCCAGGCATCCCTCACTCACTGCCAGCCCCATGCTCCAGCCAGCCCTGCAGAGGGGGTCCCTGGACCCTACTTTGTTAATGAGAGTCTCTCAGCTAACAAGGCTTCCTTGGCTAAAGGGGGGGGGGGGGCCCCCTTGGCTATTGCAGACCCGGGCACTTGGGGCTGCCAGCTCCAGCCCAATGAGCCCCTGGCTCCTGGGGCTCCACCATGCACCCTCTGGTGCTGCTGTCCTGCTCCCCAGGCCCTTCAGCTTTGGGGATCAGGGCACCTTTTAGGGGGACAAAGCCCAGCAGGCCCGGTGGGGCAGGTGGAGCACAGGGGCTGCTCTCAGGGCAGTTGCAAGGGGACTGGGAGGTCCCTGACCCTGGGGACTCTGAGATCCCAGGGCAGCGTGGTAGGAGCTGGGGACACTGTGTTGGGGATGCTGTGCTGGGGAGGCGGGGGGCACGCACAGCAGAGCAGTCCGGGCAGTGCGATATTAATACACATTTTCCCATGGTGCTCTGGCACAATTTTCAGAGCCAAAGCCGGAGGGAGTTCCTGGTCGACACAGCCTGGGTTTGTCCCTTCCCCACTCCACTCTCCCCTCACCCCCAAATCCACCGGCCCCCCACTCCTGTGACTCCCACAGCACCAGGACATGTTGCTGCAGCATCGTCTCCATCTGTCCTTGAGCCGTGGGAGAGGAGAGCGGAACTGCCTCCATCCCTGCCGGCATCAGCCCTCTCCACAGCATCTTCTCTGCCTGGGTTATCTAATGGCTGTGGCAGAGCCTTTAAATGTCACCCACTAAAGAGAGCACGACGGCGTCCGGGAAGGGAGGGGAGGCTGGGTGAGACAGGATGGGAGAAACAGGAGCAAAACAGTATCGATTTCCAGCCAATTATCACTGTTATCAAAGCAGAGCAATTAAAGGATGATGCCACATCGCCAATACCCGGCTGCCCCTCCGAGGCGAGGCGCGGGCTCACCAGCTCTGTCAAACACTCACAAATACACAAACACATCCAAGTGCCTCGTTCCCTCTGTACATGTGTGTCCGTGTGTGCTCGGAGCACAGGCGTGTGCTCTCTCTCTCTCTCTCTCACACACACACACGCACAGGGGTCCGCGGCGGCTGCTGAGCTTGTTTTCCCCGTGGAGTTAATCTCCCCAGCCCGCTTCACTGCCTCGTTCTCCGTGCAGCCAAGATGTGCCTCCATCTGGTTCTCGCTGAGCCCAGGGAGGGTGGAGGGCGCTGGGGACGGCTGGCAAAGCACTGCCCAGGGCTCTCGCCTGACGAGGGGATGGAGCTGCTGGAACTTAGCGCACTTCTCCTCAGGTCGCCTAAAATACTTTCTCTTCGTGTGCCCATCCCTCCTTCTCCCTCCTCCTTCCCGCAGCCCCAAGGTGCGGGGTCTGGCTCTGACCCTGCTGCACCCCAGGGGTCTCCCAGGCTGCCAGCTGGGCACTCGCCTTTCACATGTTCATGGCTCCGAATTACACCATCCCTGTCACTCGGTTTGTTCAGCTGGAGCAGAGGAGACTGAGGGGAGACTCCTCGGGGGCTGCAGCTCCTCCCGAGGGGAGGCAGAGGGGCAGGGGCTGAGCTCTGCTCTGGGCCAGGGCCAGGAGCCCAGGAAGGGCTGGAGCTGTGCCAGGGCTTGGCATGGAGCTCAGGG